ATGAGGACATCATTTTTTGGTGTTAGTTCTAGGAGGTGTTGTAGGTCTTCATAGAACCGGTCTACTTCAGCCTCTTCTGCATCAGTGGTTGGGGCATACACTTGAATTACTGTGATGTTGAATGGTTTGCCTTGGAATCGGACAGAAATCATTCTGTCATTTTTGAGATTGTATCCCAGTACTGCCTTTTGCACTCTCTTGTTGACTATAAAGGCCACACCATTTTTTCTACGAGATTCCTGGCCACAGTAGTAGATATAATGGTCTTCTGAGTTAAATTCGCCCATTCCTGTCCACTTTAGTTCACTGATTCCTAGGATATCGATGTTCAGTCTTGCCATCTCATTTTTGACCATGTCAAGCTTACCTTGATTCATAGATCTTACATTCCAGGTTCCTATGTAGTATTGTTCTTTGCAGCATTGGACTTTCCTTTCACCATCAGACACATCCACAACTGAGGGTCCTTTCGGCTTTGGCCCAGCCGCTTCACTCTTTCTGGGGTTACTTGTACTTGTCCTCTGCTCTTCCTCAGTAGCATATTGGACACCTTCCGACCTGAGGGGCTCATCTTCCGGCGTCATATCTTTTAGCCTTTTGATACTGTCCATGGGGTTTTCTTGGCAAAAATACTGGAGTGGGTTGCCATTTCCTTCTCCAGGTGGATCACGCTTGGTCTGAGTTCTCTGCTGTGACCTGTCCGTCTTGGGTGGCCCTTCACGGCATAGCCCACAGCTTCATTGAACTGCGCAAGCCCCCTCGCCACGACAAGGCAGTGATCGGTAGGATCAATGCGTAGCAGCAAATTAGCGCATCGATGCAAGACTTAACAAAGAGATGTGAGAACGGAATTGGGAGTCCAGCAGCAGCACCAAGACAAACCAAGCTCAACTCTGTGTACATGCGAGAAAGGAGACTCAGCACATGCACACTTCTTCACGTACATTGAAACAGATTTCCTCAAATATTACATACAGGTGGTGGGGAGGGGTTAGTTGCCAGGAAGAGCTGATTACAATTTATCTTTATGGATGAGGAGATTATAGATCAAGAGGGGGTAGCAGTGTGGGTCCATTGTGGCTGGATAAATAAATAAGTGTTGCTAGTCTTTCAAATGCCACTGGACCTTTGTTGTACAGCATACGTTTTCCTGAACATAGAGCACCACTACTGTGTTTAGATTACTAAACTCAGGTCCTACCATGTAATTTTTACATAGTTTAATGTGTCATGTTAATACTTATCCATTGCTTCCATTCAGTTTTATATTCCTGGTTGGTTCTACAACCCAAATCCTACTGCATTGTTTACTGAATGTCCTATCTTGTTGATTAGATTGACTCTGTGCAATCCGCCTTGAGTCCCAGCGAGAAAGGTGGACTGTAAATAATATAAAATAAATAAAAAGATGCACAACATGTATACCCATAGGAGATCTGTTTTAAAAGAATCAATTCCAGTGTGTTAGTCTATTGTCGCAAAACAAAGCAGGAGTCTAGTGGAACCTTAAATACGTTTATTTTGGTATGGATATTCCGGGTGCAGGGAGTCTCTGTTTAAGTCTGGATACTTTCAATGAGATAGCCACTTACTCATATACAATGGAAGGAAAGAAAATAGCTCTGGATCATGAAACCGCGAGGAAAGGCGGGATATAAATGTTTTAATTAATAATAAATACAACAGGTTAGCAGGATTGTGTTATCACCGGGTATTGCTGATTCACATTCCGTACATTAGAGCTTTGCATAGAACTGTCATGGAGCCTTGCATTACACTGGATTTTAATCTCACTGTTTGCCGTTCCCCCCCCCCGCTCCCCTGTGCCAACACGTGTGTGTAGTGGATACAACTTCCAGTATCTTCTCTCTAGGAATACTGGACACCTGACTCTTAGAAGTAGGCATTGTTAGGAAAGGATCATGGGGGAAATGCTCTGCAGATAAACCTTCCAGTGTTTTCTCTCTATGGGTACATGACTTGCAGTGGAGAAGCTAATGCCATGGGGGGATAGCAGTGCATCTAGTGAGAATATCACACATTTGAGCTTAGCAAAGACATGTCAAACTACACTGTTTGCATTTCATTGGCTTTTGACCCCAATGCTCATTTCACACACTGTGTGTGTGTGTACATATGTCTGTCAGCTTGAACACACATGAAGCTACCTTATACTGAATCAGACCATTGGTCCATCAAGGTGGCACCTAAAAGACTAACAAAGGCCCCGGTCACACAGCAAAGTTGCCGCGGGAGAGGCACGGATAGTGGGCGGATTATCCAGGCACAATCACACCCCAACATCTGGGAAGTGAAGCGCACCTGTGGCTTACCACCGACAACGTGCCTTAAAAAACTAGTCCCTCCAAGGTACTAGTAAACGTTTGCCATGGGCTACTTCCAGACACCTGTGGTGTGATCGCGCCGCCGCACGGCATTCCCCTCCAGTCCCTCGTTTACCCGCCGGCACCAAGGGAAGGACCCATGGTGTGCCACCGGCGCGTCTGATCTCGTAATCGCGCATCAAACTGCGCCAGGGCAATTAGCCACGCCTCCCCCCCCCCCGCGATATCTGGTCTGTGTGACCAGGGCCTAAACTGTATTCCAGCATGGCATTTAGATGCTATGAAGTCTTAGTCAGCTCTTCTGTAAATCTCAGCAGAGACTTCTGCTGTAATATTAGAATAGATTCCCTGTTTTGATTCTCTATTGCGAAGCACAGAGATCCTTTATCCATAGCGATGCCTCATTAGCAGGGTTGCCAGGTCCTCTCTGGCTACTGGCAGGGGATGGGGGCATAGAGTTGTCAGATCCAGGTAGGGAAACTCCTGGATGTTTGGGAATGGAGCCTGGGGAGGGCAGGGACCTCAGTGGGGTACAATGCCATAGGGTCTACCCTTCAAAGCATCCATTTTCTCCAGGGGAACTGATCTCTGTAGTCTGGAGATGAGCTGTAATTCCTGGGGAATCCCCAGGTCCCACCTGGAGGCTGGCATTCCTATCAGAATTATTCCCAGAACTGAGTACTGGGAGAGTTAAAACTATGTTGTGCAAGTAGAAAGAAAAAGACTGTGGCCCTGGTCACACAGGAGGATTTGCCCCGCGAAACAGATGGGTTGAGGGCGGATTAAACCGGCACGATCAGATGCCAACATCTGGCAAGCGTCGTGCATCCGCCCCTAACCCGTTCCTTCCGGCCGAAAACGCGGATTTAAAAGATACCTTAAAAACACTAGTACCTACTTGGAAACGGGCGGGCGTGTGAACGCCGACACGCCCGCATCCCGTGGTATGCGAGGCCCTGCCACACTGCACATGTGCACAACTGCGCACCTGCCTCACCCTTCATCCCATCGCTTCTCCCTTGGCATGTGATCGTGCCGGGGAGCAAATGCAGCGTGGCTTGGGAGAACTGTCTGATCTCGATGCCCCACTTCTTTTCCCGCTAGTGTGACCAGGGCCTGTAATGTTTTCTCAAGACAGGAAGCCATATTAGTCTGTCTGTAGCCATAGAAAAGAGCAAGAATTCCAGTAGCACCTTAAAGACTAACAAAATATGTGGTGAGGCATGAGCTTTAGTGCTAGTTTCTGAAGAAGTGAGCAGTGACTCAGAAAAGCTCACCCCTGCCATATATTTTGTTAGTCTTCAAGGTGCTACTGGACTCTTGCTCTTTTCTACTGTACTGTTTTCTGACTGTATAAAAAGAGCGCGAGTCTGCTCTTTTTCTCTTCGCCTCTGATCGGCATGGGCATCACAAGTGAACAGGAAATGGGGAAAAGGTTCTTCAAGCCATACGCTCATTTTCCACAGCCCAGAAGCCTGAGCTTCCGGTATGCCATTGCTCAGCCGTTCTTCTCTATGGATGCCGATGGAGCGTCGCTCTAAGCTGCGGCGCTCTATGGTACATAGAAGACATCAGTTATCTTCTGCCATGGAAGTCGCCGGTTCGGACTATTCTGGAACTGGGATCCCTTGGAAGGAACGGGTGTGAAAGGCGGCCTTTGTGCGTGGGGGAGGGGGGGTGTCTGTGGCTCGCCTGTCAAGAGGGCGGGTGGCTCTGGGCGAGGGAAAAGAAGGGGAGGGGGCGGTCGCGAACAGGGGGGGGACTACAACTCCCAGATTGCCGTGCTGTGGTGGGAATCCCCGATCACGTGAACTCGCCTCGGTCCTTTGCATCTCCCCTCCCCGCCAAATGGAAAATGGCAGTGCCGGGCCCCGGGGAGCGGTGGACTGAAGGTAACTCTCCATCCTGCGCGTGGCTCCGGAGGCTGCCGCCCTGCGACCTCGCAGCCTCGGGGGATGAGGGGATGACGCGGGAGGCTGGAGCGGGGCTGGGTACTCCGAAGCGATCGCAAGGCGAAGGGTCGTCTGTTCGGTGACATCTTTTCAAAAACTAGCACATTTATTGCGGCGTAAGTTTCCGTGGGCCCATTTTATCCGATGCATGGAGCAGGTACATTGATGTACGTGCCTGCAAGGCAAAAAAAAAAATTCAACAGCGGGCCAAATGTGTATGGAATTCAAGAGATCTGCACGGTCTCTGGTTTGCTGTGCAAAATTCAAACGCACACAGTGGAATGCGTTCCTAGTTTGTATACATCTGAGCTTTGCATAGCAATGTCACGGGTCTACCAGGGCTTTTTTGATGGCTCCCATTTCTGCCTTTTCTTTCTCTGTAGCCGTGTGCGTTTGCCATCTAATGATAGGACTTCATACACTGGACGAAGTCGGTTCTGCAAGGGCTTGTCCCCCAGGATATTTGTTGGTCTTTAAGAGAGCTTTGTGATGTGTGCTGCAAAAGACTAGCCTGGCTCTTTATTTATTTATTTATAATTTCAATGTATACACTGCCCTACCCCTGAGTACACACAGCTCAGGGCGGTGGAGGACATAATGATAAAAGCACTCATAAATAATAAAACAATGTAAAGAATCCATAGATAAAAACAGTTTCAGATGTCAACACTTCAGAGTCCAAATTTTGTCACTGCCCCACAAGAAGGTGGGAAGGAGACAGGAAGAAAAAAGAAGAGAAGGGGGGTGGAGAAGGTAGTACCCATCACTGCCCTCAATCAAAAGCGTGGAGGAACATCTCTGCCATGCAAGCCCTGCGGAACTGCATTAGGTCCCACGGGGCACAGATGTTATTCAGCAGAGAGTTCCACCAGTTAGGAGCCAGGACAGAAAAGGCCCTGGCTCTGGTCGAGGACAGCCGGACTTCTTTTGGGCTGGGAGTGGAGAGCAGGCTGTGGAATGAGAGTAGACGAGTGAGAGAAATGTCAGTGGAGTGGAGTGGCGAAGGGAGTTTGCATTGATTCTGGACTGTGGATAGCATATAAAATGTGAGAAGGGTGGAAAGGGGGGGGGGGGAACTCACCAGAGGAATGAATCCAAGGTTTCATCTAAAACTGTTTACCAGTTTTTCAACTCATAGCTCCAAAATTGCATATAGCCATATCCTTGGCTAGATTCAATGTTTTATTTATTTATTTATTTTTCGCATTTGTATCCCACCTTCCCCAATGGGCTCAGGGCGGCTAACAAGGGCAAGGTAATAACTATGCCATAATTAAAACATGTTATACATAATAACTTTAAAACATATAATACATGGTAAAACATCCAACATTTCAAACAATGGTGCAAATGTTATGTTATACATATGTTATTATAAGTAATAACTTTAAAACATATAATACATGGTAAAACATCCAACATATAATACATGGTAAAATATCCAACATTTAAAACTGATGTTCTTCCTTCAGCTATCTTATCTGGCAGATTTCAAGGGATTCCCTATCCTAGCAGGTGCTGTCCTTGTATGAAGGACTGTGTTGAAACTGTTGCCCATGTCCTCCTCCAGTGCCCTCTCTGTTTGGCGTCCCGTCTGGATCTTCTATATCCCATATTAGGCCAATTTTTAGAGACCCCCTGATGATTTTAAACTCCTTTTCTTGCTCGATAATCCAGATACAGAAATAACTGAAATAGTAGCAAAGTTTCTCTGCAGTGCCATGGTCCTACGGCCTGATAAGTGAGATTATGAATTCGGTTTTATTTTGATGTTACTCTGCAATTTTAATTTTACTCTGCATGATTTTGTATTTAGATTACTGTATCTTTATTTATATGCCAATAAAAGGCTTTGGATTTGGTTTACCAGTTTAAGTGAACATCTGGTGCCACGTGTTGAGAAACTATGCATGTGAAAACTAGCCCGGGTTTTGGCCTTTGGATGGTAATCTTAGAAGGTCCCACTTTATTTCTCTTTCCATTTCCAAGCCTTTCAGGTATGCACACCTGTTGCATCTGCTGTGGCACACTTCCTTTTAAAGCTCCTCCATTAACACGCCTGTTGTTGTTCGTGTTAAAATGAGCAAAACAAGCTGTCATGAGGTTGGGTAAGCCATCCCTTTATTTTGCTTTTCAAAGATGCTTCTAAAACAGAGAGTTTATACGACCAGCGCAACATCAAAATAAAACGTACAGATCCCAAGAAGCATCCGAATCCTGCAGGATTTTTGTTTGTTGGTTCTGCATTTGAACTGTTACCTAAAAATACATGTGTGGCAAGAATAAGGGACTTCTTTTCCCTTTGATATTGGGGGCGTGTGCATATGTGTGCATGTTTTATGATGCCTGAAGCTATACGTTTTCCACGGGTCACACCTGCCTTTCTTTGCAGCATTAATTGATGAGCTCAGAAGAAATCCCTACACATTGGAGGAGATGAGGGAGGATTTCGACTGCTGTTGCTGTAGTGACTGTCTGAGGATGAAGGAGGATGTGTGTGACTGTGGGAGGAGTCAACCAGTCTCTGGAGAAGGAAGCATGACCTACACAAAAGAACAACTGCTTGGGGTGCAAAGGTAAACAAAAAGCCTCTGTGCCGACACTATATGTGTTTATCATGGTTGCAACCCGCAGTGTGTGTCTCTGAAAGATACATTGTGCAAAACGTCTCCAGATCATGGGAGGGCAATTACCACGTAGTTATGTCATGTATACCTTGCCTTTCTCCCCAAGTGGGAACTCAAAGAGGCATACATCACTCTATTTTATCCTCACAACCACTCTGTGAAGTAGGTTAGGCTGAGGTTGTATGATTGGCCCAAGGTCACCCAGCAAGCTTCCGTAGCAGAGTGGGCATCATTAGAACCTGGGTCTTCCACATCCTAGTTCAGTACTAACACCATATCGTGCTGGGTCTCAATGGATACAAATGCCCATTAAGAGCTTTCTCACGTTTGTGTTTTTGAGACACTGTTATAATTCCGGTGAATTACAATGCAAGGGAATGAAAAGAAATACTTCAGACTGCTTTTTCGTCTAACAGCTAGTTGTGGCTTTTGTTTGTTAAACTGTAAGGCTCTTTATGCAGAGTCTCGCAAAAGTATTTTAAAAGTATTTTGATAGTACACATATTTACCAATATTCAGAGGCAAAACTGATCCACTAAAAATTCTTTCATGGGTAGCCAGACCTATATCTTTAGCAGCAAATGTGGTAAAGTGCTCTAGTGCTATCCTAAGCAGAGTTAGTAAAGGTAAAGGTTTCCCTTGCTCGAAAGCCAGTTTAATCCGACTCTAGGGGGCGGTGCTCATCTCTCTTTCCAAGCCAAAGAGCCAGCGCTGGTCGAAGACTTCTCTGTGGCCATGTGGCCGGCAGGACTAAACACCGAGGTGCATGGAACGCTATTACCTTCCCACCGAAGTGGTACCTATTTATCTACTTGCAATTTCTTGCTTTCGAACTGCTAGGTTGGCAGGAGCTGGGGCCAGAGCCAAGAGCTCACTGCGGCACTCGGATCTCAAACTGCTGAGCTGCTGACCTTCCGGTCAGCAGTTCAGGATCTTAACCTCTGAGCCACCACAGCCCCAAGCAGAGTAATGCCCTTCTAAATCCTTTGACTTCAGTAGACTTAGAAGGGCATAGTGCTGGTTAGAATTGTACCACTGGAAGCATAAAGAGCCAAATAGTAAAAGTGAAGGAACTCTCACTACAACCAGTTTTTATAGCCTAATATCACATATAAATCCAGGGTTGTGTTTTCTTTAATATTATATTTTGTTAAGGGTTTAAAAACTTGCCTCATGTCAAAAAAAATAAGAAAAGAAAAACAAACTTACAATCAGAAGCTGGACATAAAGAACAAAGTACTACATTATTCTGTTGCCTTCATTATGTCCACAAGCTCTGGCACAGCTGTCCTTGAAAAAGAGCAGTTTGTGTCAGAGTTCTCTCAGCCCCACCCACCTCACAGGGTGTCTGTTGTGGGGAGGGGGAGGGAAAGGAGTTTGTAAGCCGCTCTGAGACTCCAAGTGAAGGGTGGGGTATAAATCCAATCTCTTCTTCTTCTTCTTCTTCTTCTTCATTTGAAATGGATCTAATAAGCAATCCAGTAATAATTCGACAAACTTGCATATCTCATTAGTTTGTGGCTTGCGTATCTCATTCGCTGTAACAGGCTGCATTAAAGGGAAAACACTTTTGTCATTCTAATACTCTAATCTACTATTCCAAATAAGAAATACACTAAAATGGTATCCTCTTTATTTTAGAATAGTGATTGTAATGTAGTGCAGTGAATATTAGAATGGTATTTTGGAATGCATTTCTCTGGTCTAGTAACAGAAGAGATATAAGCAGGCCCATAGCCAGGATATCTCAAGCTTTACATAAGTCGGGGGGGGGCTGACATTAAAATAAAAGGGTGTTTTCCCAAGCCCTGGAAGCCCAGCGTCACAGAGCTGGCCTCTCCCGGTGCTCCAGCGGGGCACCCAGGTGCAGGAGGAGGAAGAAGAGGAGGAGGAAGAGGCGCGCCGGCCCAGCCCCACCAGCCTCTGAGCTCCACCAAAAGTTCCTGCTGGTCCCACCTCGCCAGCCCGCCTGCCTGCCTCACGCAGATTCCCACCTGGGAGTCCCGTGCTGCTGCCGCCAGCTCAGGACGAGGGCCCGGAGCCGCGGGGGGGGGGGGCTGGGATGGAGCCTCCAGGGCTGCTGGCCGGAAGGGAAGGGGCAATGGTGGTGGTGCGGGGAGTCTTCAGGACAGCCCAGAGAGTCGGAGGGCCTGGGCTAGATAGCAGTGTGTGGGGCCCTGTCAGGAAGTTGGGGGGGGCCAGGCCCCGGGGGGCCCACTGTAGCTACAGGCCTGGACATAACACTGCACTAGAAATCACCCCACGTCAAAGAAAAAGATACTGTTAGTTACCTCCATGCTTGAGAGGAGACAGATGGAGCGTAACGACAAGGTCACAGTTAATTACTCTTAGCACTCCACAATTAAGAAGGCTGCGTTTACACATCTATCTCCGATTTTGACATATTTATTTGCTTCACTGTTTTCCCCAGAATTAAATCCAAACAAAAGTGACCTTATAAACTTAGCTTGTTGTTCCTGTTTGCATCTGTTAAAACATCTTTATTATGCGGGTGCTAATTTGCTGTTCAACCTCTGTCTTATATGTACGGACTGCTAAATTCCATTTCATTGTATCTGAGGAAGTGTGCGTGCACACAAAAACTTATACCTTGAATAAAACTTTCCTGGTCTTAAAGGTGCCACTGGACTCAAACTGTGTTCTCCTACCTTTATTTTATGGTTCAATACCAGGACCGGCAAGGCACAACATGGGTAGATCCATTATATCTGATGTGCCAAGTAACTTCTATCAGCACTTGCTTTTGCTTCTTTTTACTTACTCATGGTGGGTAGGCGAGAGAAGGGCAGTTACATAGCAAAGAGGGAAAAGCAGACTAAAGCAGGAGGGGGGGTGTCTTGCTGTATTTGAAAGTATGAATTGGTAAGAGAGTTTCTGTATATGCTTTTTGTGACAAATACACAATTAAAGAATTGTGCTTGTTTTGTAGAATAAAGAGGTGTAAGAATTATTATGAAATTCTAGGCGTTGAGAGTGATGCCACTGATGAGGAACTGAAGAAAGCGTACCGAAAACTAGCCCTTAAGTTTCACCCTGACAAAAATTGTGCTCCAGGAGCGACGGAAGCATTTAAAGGTAGGTAGGGGGAAAGCCTGGACAGAGGCTGGTTTTGGAGTGCAGAGCGAGTGCTGCGCAGTAGAGCTCAGTAAAAGGTAAAAAATGTTCTGGTATCTAGAACAAAAAAATCTATGGGGCCGGTAGTGGTGGTGGTGGTGGAACCTGCTGTCAACTCACAGCCAACTTATGGCAACCCTGAAGGGTTTTCAAGGCGAGAGATGTTCAGAGAGAAGTCTGATCTGGATCCTACCTGTGTCTTCTGTTGACAGTTCCAAATTTTTAGAGTGATATCTTGGTTAAGATCAGTAGGTTTGCAATTTCTTTGCTCTGTTGTTCACTGAAAAGGCACAGTATGCCATTCCATTAAGAGATGGCTTTCTATCATTTAAAGGATACTGAGGTAGAAATTTTCTATCAATGGAAGGATTTTCTATCAATGGAATTTTTGTTGAACTCCTCATACAGACCCTCCATTTGCCCTTCAAGTTGCCACTGTCCCTCAGGAAGTTCATCTGAGGGCTCCCAGGCAGTCCAGTGGGCTGCAGAAGGTGAGGGAAGGTAGGAAAGTCCCATTCCACTGACAGAAGTGCCTTCCATAAATGGAAGATTATTACTGGATCCAACACTATGACATAATCCCATCTGTGCTGCCCTGGGTGTCTTTTTTGGGGGGGGAGGGGATATTTTTTGTATTTTTCATATGTGCATGTGTGTGAGCAGGGCTATTTTTGGGCAGGAACGCACAGGAATGGAGTTCCGGCTGGCTCCTGAGTTGGCCACGCCCAGCAGGAACTCATTAGCATAATAGGCCACACCCAACAGCAGAAACTCATTAGGATTGGCTTCATTAGGGGTGTGTGGCCTAACAAGCAAAGAAGCTCCTGCTACAAAAAAAGCCCAGGGTTTTGACAACAAAGTAAACAGAATAAGAAGCGAAAGGTAGGTGTGGCTGGACGACCACGCTTCTGGTAACATGGGGGTGTGGCCTAATACGCTAATGAGCTGCACTGTCGGGGGTGTGACC